CTTAGCGTAGGCAGATACGATTCGCAGACATATTAACGGACTGTCTAAGAAACGGCAACAAAGAGATGACAGAATGACCTTGAGCAGGAAAACAGCCAATCAGAAGACGCTGCTTCTCTGCTAACAATAACGAATAATAATTTACATAAAAATCTATAAGTGTCTGTTGGTTTTCTCAATAAGCGATCTGTTGTCTGGCCCTTGTATTCTGTCGTTACACCCTTAGATTTCTCTCGCTGATAGTGATTGCTGCTTATTGCTGTTGTCATCGTTGCTTAGATATCTTCATTTCTTCTGTCTTCTCTGTATTCATCAGTCGAATTTCTGTATTCGTTGCTTCTTCTGCCCACTTTCTGGTTCTCACCTTCATACCTTCCAGTTAATATCAGAACATGCACATTCTCAGAGTCCCTAATTCAGTCCTTGGAACCATATATGTTCGAAAGCCTGTTCCCTATTTAAATATACTGCTGTTTTGAGTATATTTCTAAATATTTCAGATATACTGATCTACATTCCATTATTAGTTTTTGCAGGTTAGTCAAGCTACTGTTTATGTGAACGCTGAAACCGGATAAGTGTGGTGATTGACAATTTCTATCTCTGTATTGTTTAAATACTTACTGTTGACTGTTGATATGTTTCTTATATGAATTGCATAATAATTCCGCTAAATACAAATTCCTGAATTCTGCCCTCTCTGTGTTTTGTTTGGATTCGTGTAATTCGGTCATCTCGAAATACTAATACTACGATTACAATAAATTACTACAAATTGGCGTCGCGATGGAACTAAATAACCTGGGAAAATTTCCTATAAATGCTCTCCGCGGGAGATTGCTGATTATTTGGAATGCTTCGATGCGTGGTGCATTTCAAAGAATGTTCGGGATGACAAAATACCAGCACATTTCATCACTGCTATTGGGCTAGATGCATATAGCCTAGTAAAGACTCTGTCATTTCCAGATAAACCAATTTCTCTGCCATATTATAAACTCGTGAACTTCTTATAAATCACTTTCATGTAACTACATTTGAGACCAGAGAGAGGGCTCACTTCAACAAACTGGTTCGTGCTCCCAACCAGAAGATTCGAGAGTTCATTCTTCAACTTCAAATACAAGCTTCAAAGTGTAACTTTGGAGATCAGCTGCATACTCAACTACGTGATCGTCTAATTGCTGGAATCAATATTCCTAAGTTAGAGAAAGAGTTAATTCAGATTCCTTCTTGTACTTTTCAAACTGCTAAAGATTTATGTATTACATATGAAGATGTCAATAATGAATACTCTGCTCCCACTACGTCAGTGTCTGATGTTATGCTTTCTAAAGTCGAAAATACAAGTGTTCATGGAAAGCAATCCAAACTGCCGTCCACAGGTAATAGAATGCAGCGAGAGATCAAAAACATTAAACCGTGTTTATCCTGTGGAAAGTTACATCTACGAAGCACTTGCCGTTTTCGGGGTGCTAAGTGTCACAAATGTGGTAAAGTTGGACACATCAAGACTGTTTGCAGAAGTTCGAATACTTATGTTGCTCAACATTCTTATAATTCTCCCAAGCTGTCTAGTAAAATGGAGTCAATGTGTCTTTCAACCTTTCAAAATACTCAAGCTAATCCAATGAAAACCTCCACTACAAGTTCAGCAACTCAAGTGTCAACTGTTTTCAAAAATGTGGTAGCCGAGTTACAATGTGAACTGTCGAAAACACGAAAAGACCTGAATGAGATGAGAGAGCAACTGATTAAAATGCAGGAATTACTGCATATGCATAGACTGCGTCTGTTGAATGCAGAGCATACAAGTACCCGTGAAAGTCCTGCAAAACTTTTCAAATCTCGAATTCTCAAAAAGCATCTGATGTCCACGACTTCTAATGTACATTATTACAAAGGGAAAGACTATAGACCTTCTGTTGGAATTATACTACAAAAAATGGGAAATCGAGTGGTGAAGATATTAGACATCAAAGATCACTCAGTTCATAACAGACACCTGGACAAAGTGACAATAAATGAAGTAGGTCGTTCCAATTATAATTTTAATGATTCCGCTAATAATCCTGATTTTGTAGATAATTCAGAAATAAGTCCAGATAATACTGATGAAAATAATATCACAGAATCAGTTAGAAGGTCGGAGCTACTTGCAAGCAAACCGAGACATCGTTATAAATACGCAAGGAGACATTCGACGTGTGGCGGATGTGGTGATTGACAATTTCTATCTCTGTATTGTTTAAATACTTACTGTTGATTGTTAATATGTTTCTTATATGAATTGCATAATAATTCCGCTAAATACAAATTCCTGAATTCCGCCCTCTCTGTGTTTTGTTTGGATTCGTGTAATTCGGTCATCTCGAAATACTAATACTACGATTACAATATATTGCTACATAGACGTTATTTATTTAGGGTAACATAAATTATCAATTTACCCGTCAAACCACTGAAAAACAGGTGTCAGTTGTTTGAATTCTTCTTAGACGAGCACACTCTTTGATGTTAACGGTTGAGAAAGAAGAAGAAGAAGAAATATCAAACATTATTGAGACTCTTAAGCAAAATAACTACCCAAAGAATTACATCATTAAAATCAACACCGACATTAAATATAGTCAAAAACACGTATTCCAAAGATATTGGCCTCAACTGTTGTCATTCCGTAATGACCATCAGATACATCAGACGATATCAGAAAAATACTCAGTAAGCACAACGTCAGACACACACACACACTACAAAGCAACCTTGTCCATGTAAAAGACCAAATCTCTAAGGATTCTCATTCTAATTGCGTCTACAAAATAAAATTCTTGGAATGTGATGCAATATACATCGGAAAAAGCACTGTCGGAGAGAAATCAAGGTAATCAGAAGGAATGACCACCCCAAAAGCCACGTCTGTTAGACTTCCGAGAAATCAAGTTAATGAACTAGGAAAGCGTGAAAAGTTACCAGCCATAGGTCTTCGGCATACTACAGAATCAAGTCACAAATTGAAAAAATCGAGAAAAATGTTAGAAATCACAAAAAGTGTCTGATATTATCAGAAGCAGTTTATGGAATTCAAATAGTCTGAATAGGAATGATCAACCAAAACAGAATCTAACCTGGTTACAACACCCTCCTCTATCTCATGAAATGAAAAAATCAACACGAATGTGATAAGCAATCTCATTATGTAAACATAAGCTGCTTTTATATTCTTATACACTCATAGAATCCAAAAATCTACACACCTGGTTTTGTTTTCTTTACTGATTAGTCAACTTGACAAAAACATAAAAATAATCGCATGCTGATGAACGATGATTAAGTTGGTGTACATATAAGCTGAATAGATTTTGTAAATTCTGGTTTAATAATACTACTACTATGACAAAGCTATTAGCATTAAATAGCGAAACGTCAGTAAACAGAACAATATCGTTTTGTTTTTTATTCATTGGGAAATACAAAATCTTTTAGAATTAGTATTTTATTGTTTATGAATATCCTTTTACTTTACTCACTTCTGTGATTCTTGTGTAATATCATTTTGTTGGTACCTTATGGGTTCAGTGTGCAAGAAAAAGTCTCAAGCTATGAAGTTTCAGTAACACTGGTACAGATTTTATAGAGTGAGGTGGCCTAGTCATACGCCTAGCTTTCCCTCTTTTCCAAGCCCCTATCCGCTAGTAAATTAGGCGGGTAGGTTTCGAATTGCATCTACCAGGACCTTCTGTGTGATTGGCGAGCATTCCAGAATTAAATCGTTGGAGCACTGTAGTATCAGTTGCTCCCTGTTTTCTTGTTCAGTAATTTATTTGGTCGGACGATTTCATCGTGCGCTTGTAGTGACCCATTCTATTAATCATCTTCGTAGTATACTTTCACTATGTAATTGGACTTTGATTTGTTTATCACTCTGAAGATTGCGTGTTAACAATAAACACATTTGTACTCGCTCAACTTTTGAATTTTGATGCTGCGATAATGCACGTTCGTACTCCTTCTCAAGTGTCTTTTGATTTATGTTGTGGACGTTGAGCAAACACAACGTTAGGAAACAACAATAATCGTGAAGATGTACCAGGATATACGTGTACGCAAGTTTGGTCAAATGGAGCACCTAAACAAGCTGGCATCAATTAGAGAACCACTGGAAAACCTGAGAGTGCTGAACAGCTGCTTCGTCCTAGCTTGGGACTCTTCATCTGTAGGCGTCGAAGAAGACATTGCGAAGTGGTCGCTCTATATCGTGCGTGAATTGGCAGAAGTTAGAATTCATGGGCTGGGCACTGAATTGGGTGCCAGTAGCTTGATTGTCTACGGGATAGCTCTCCTTGTCACCAGAAGGCCCTAAGTTCAAACCTCGCGGTGTGGGTGCGTACTGATGATGAATCCCAAAGTAGACTGGAGAAACAGCTGGCTTTTAAATGGTTCTCTAGTTGATGTCAGCTCATGATGAAATCCTACAGCCAATCAAACAAAATCCCTATAAAACCAATACTTGAATAATAACTTAATTGTTAAATAATTCCTACAGAGTGTCTATCATGCTCCCTAAAACTTCTAGTATTATTTTGATTATCGTTCACTGATATTTAGAACCTTTCTCTCATATATTTCACTCCTTGTTATGTGTTCAAAACAAAAACATTACCAAACTCTCCGTATAATTCTGATTGTATAGTTGTGGTAAATGGAATGGCAACTTAGATTTTCTCCACTAAATTACTTGCCTTGTTTCATCGGAATGTCCTAATGAGGAATTTTGCTAAATTTGTAAGAAACTAGATGTTTACAATTACGTCAAACTTAGTATAGTAATTTATTGTAGTCGTAGTATCAGTATTTCGAGATGACCGAATTACACGAATCCAAACAAAACACAGAGAGGGCGGAATTCAGGAATTTGTATTTAGCGGAATTATTATGCAATTCATATAAGAAACATATTAACAATCAACAGTAAGTATTTAAACAATACAGAGATAGAAATTGTCAATCACCACATCCGCCACACGTCGAATATCTCCTTGCGTATTTATAACGATGTCTCGGTTTGCTTGCAAGTAGCTGCGACCTTCTAACTGATTCTGTGATATTATTTTCATCAGTATTATCTGGACTTATTTCTGAATTATCTACAAAATCAGGATTAGTAGCGGAATCATTAAAATTATAATTGGAACGACCTACTTCATTTATTGTCACTTTGTCCAGGTGTCTGTTATGAACTGAGTGATCTTTGATGTCTAATATCTTCACCACTCGATTTCCCATTTTTTGTAGTATAATTCCAACAGAAGGTCTATAGTCTTTCCCTTTGTAATAATGTACATTAGAAGTCGTGGACATCAGATGCTTTTTGAGAATTCGAGATTTGAAAAGTTTTGCAGGACTTTCACGGGTACTTGTATGCTCTGCATTCAACAGACGCAGTCTATGCATATGCAGTAATTCCTCCATTTTAATCAGTTGCTCTCTCATCTCATTCAGGTCTTTTCGTGTTTTCGACAGTTCACATTGTAACTCGGCTACCTCATTTTTGAAAACAGTTGACACTTGAGTTGCCGAACTTGTAGTGGAGGTTTTCATTGGATTAGCTTGAGTATTTTGAAAGGTTGAAAGACACATTGACTCCATTTTACTAGACAGCTTGGGAGAATTATAAGAATGTTGAGCAACATAAGTATTCGAACTTCTGCAAACAGTCTTGATGTGTCCAACTTTACCACATTTGTGACACTTAGCACCCCGAAAACGGCAAGTGCTTCGTAGATGTAACTTTCCACAGGATAAACACGGTTTAATGTTTTTGATCTCTCGCTGCATTCTATTACCTGTGGACGGCAGTTTGGATTGCTTTCCATGAACACTTGTATTTTCGACTTTAGAAAGCATAACATCAGACACTGACGTAGTGGGAGCAGAGTATTCATTATTGACATCTTCATATGTAATACATAAATCTTTAGCAGTTTGAAAGTACAAGAAGGAATCTGAATTAACTCTTTCTCTAACTTAGGAATATTGATTCCAGCAATTAGACGATCACGTAGTTGAGTATGCAGCTGATCTCCAAAGTTACACTTTGAAGCTTGTATTTGAAGTTGAAGAATGAACTCTCGAATCTTCTGGTTGGGAGCACGAACCAGTTTGTTGAAGTGAGCCCTCTCTCTGGTCTCAAATGTAGTTACATGAAAGTGATTTATAAGAAGTTCACGAGTTTATAATATGGCAGAGAAATTGGTTTATCTGGAAATGACAGAGTCTTTACTAGGCTATATGCATCTAGCCCAATAGCAGTGATGAAATGTGCTGGTATTTTGTCATCCCGAACATTCTTTGAAATGCACCACGCATCGAAGCATTCCAAATAATCAGCAATCTCCCGCGGAGACCATTTATAGGAAATTTTCCCAGGTTATTTAGTTCCATCGCGACGCCAATTTGTAGTAATTTATTGTAATCGTAGTATTAGTATTTCGAGATGACCGAATTACACGAATCCAAACAAAACACAGAGAGGGCGGAATTCAGGAATTTGTATTTAGCGGAATTATTATGCAATTCATATAAGAAACATATCAACAGTCAACAGTAAGTATTTAAACAATACAGAGATAGAAATTGTCAATCACCACAGTCTAGTTGGACTAAAACAAGAGTTAGATTTAATTTATAAAAAAGTATTCTCAATCAGGTTTTAGTTCATATTAGATCTTTGCGGCAATCGTCCATAGGAAGCCTTGGAAACCACCTAGGTTTCGTGCTAGTTGGCTGGCAGTCACCAGTCCGAACGGTGTATCTGCGATTGGCTTCGACGGATTCATGTCTCTTCTGGGATTCGAATATAAGGGACTGTTTAGAGAACTCAATAGCATAACAAGTATGCGAATAAAAATCCAAGTTAATGAGGTGGTGGTGTAACGATATATTGTCAAAAGAAACAGTAATGTGATATATTAATAAAACGGTCACTTGGATATACAGTTAAAGTCCACGGCTACTACAAATTATTAATATAATCCACAGAAACGTTCACTGCTGGAGTCGCGTTTACTGGTAGAGGCTATGTACCGCGTTTTAGAATAGTCTTCGGATCCAAAATATACAACACGGTTATGAGTGAAGCAGGTAAACAGTATGAACCACCAAGAAAACGAAACGGCCAGCAGTACATTGTATTTCAGAGTGTTCTCGGAAGCTATCAGTATTTCAGCATGAATCGTTTTAAACAAAAGTCATGTACAATCAATGTCTCTAATTTCAACATCTAACAAAAAGGTATACAATCATATTGTTACGTACTCCACACGAACCCGCGTCATCCAGTGAGTGCTGCAGTCGGACATAGACGTTACCACTAAGCTATTCGGTCTCCTGTAGGAATGAATTAGACACATGGATTGGACACCAGTAACTAGTGTGACGTGTCTAGTCCCTTCTTTGTTGCAGACTGAATTCTATCAGTCAGCTTTGCAGTGTGACCAGTATTCTAGGTAGCTCACCATCACAGTGCACTTTGAACAGCTGACTAGGGCCAGCTAGCACGAAACCTAGGTTTAAGACTTCCTATGGCCCATTGCTTCCAGCTATCAAGTATCAACAATTCAAAGTGTACCATGATGGCAATCCAACTAGTGGCATGGTTGCCACATTGCAAAGCTGACCGACAGAATTCAGTCTGCACCAAAGATAGGAGAACTAGATGCAACACACTAGTTAGTGACTACTGTCCAACCAAAGATTACAGTTCAGTTATTATAAATTTCTTAAACCATAGAGACTTTGTTCAACACAAATCGTATGTTCACCATCATGTCTATCAGACCTTTGATATATGATGAATGCTATCTATATAAACATAGAGGTGGTTAGATTTTTGAATTTCGTGCAGGCTTTTCAATAATTTCGGTGTTAAATTAGACAATAACAGACGTCAGTTGGAGAATCAGTGATAATCAAGGCATACTAGACAGTTGTTTCGTCTTAGTTTGGGACTCTTCAGGACTCACTGGACAGTGTTTATTGTGAGCAGTATTCAGACGATGTTCTACATCAGAATAAACCCATTTCTTTGGAGCATTATTTTGAAAGTGTACCCAGTCTCATTCACTAAGCCAGAATTAAACTTCTGTTATCAACAGATATAGAGTTAAAATCACCGACTTGTGTGAATATGGTTAAGGCGAACAAATTTATCGAAAGCATAATAAGTCAAAATATTTGAAAGGAATTATAGATAATAGAAAACATTCACGTCTATAGAATACAGTTCATACACACATACTCACCCACGTACAAAGTAATATCAGACTAGAGAACTATTCATTGAAAACTGATATTCATTGTATGCGTGTTCATTGTGTTACTGTAAGACAGACTAAAAGACAGAAAATCTCACATTTATATATCTCTAAGATAAGTAGAATTATTTTACCGACATGTTTGTTTGTTCTTCTATAAGTAAAAATAGGAGTTCTCATAAGATTCAGAGGTGATGGAGATTCTTGGCCAACACCAACAGCAACAACAACAGACAACAATCAGCCAGCATAAATGGGAGGAACCTGAAAGAAACAACCTCTTTTACCTACCCACCTACCTGGGAAGCATCGTTTCAACTACAGGCGGACGGAACTGACGAGGATATCAAAGCAGCGAGGATCAGGAAAGCCCAACAAGCTTTCATTACTCTCATCAAGTCTGTGTGGAGGTCAACAGCACTCACCATCAAAAATAAGATCCGGATTTTCAACTCCAATGTGAAGTCAGTCACTGTTACTATGCGGATCAGAGGCTTGACCAGCGCGTCATAAAGAGCATCTCAAACAAACTACAAACCTTCATTAACAGTTGTCTTCGCTCAATACTCAAGATCAGATGAACGGCCAGAAAAGATCAGCAACAGGGAGGGATCTCTGGGAGCGAACAAACCAGGATCCGATTGTGAAAGAAATAGGTAGGAAGAAATGGAGATGGATTGGAGGCCATATTCTGAGGAAACAATCCATCAAGTGAAATCACTAGACAAGCCATTGCTTTAGTGGAACCCGAAAGAGAAGCGGCGAGTTGACCGTCAGTGTGACGGTGACTTGAAGGAGGTCATGTGAAGAGGAGATGAAAGCATGTGGACAGACTTGGCGCCAGGTGAAAACTCCAGCAGAGAACCGAAGGCAATGGAGACGCGCAGCTGAAGCCCTATGTTCCTCTAGGAATTAAAGGAAATAATAATAAATAAGAATAAGAATCAGACTGTGCGTGGGAGTGAGTGAGAAGTCAGGAATACGCTGTACTAAACGATAGGAAGACTCTGAGAAAATCTGGATTTCGCAGGTGGATGATTTACGTTTAATGTCACACACACATACACAAAAACTCAGAGACAGCGAAGGCAGAATTGACTCCAGGTGAACATAGAGAAGGTGGAGACGGAGGTGATTAAGATAACCAACCAACCAAACAGCCAGAAGAAACAACAGCAACAACCAGCATCAATCACCGTCAGTGGGAGGAAGGGATTTGACACAGTACACTTCCTGCCTTCACTTATCTAGCCACCTAGAAAGCCAGAACGGTTTCAACCACAGACAGTCAGACAGTTTGAGAGCACGGATAAAGATGTCAAAGCCAGCCTGCCAGACTGACATTGTCGGAAATGCAAGATACGCCTTCATCAACCTGAAACCAGTTTGGAAATCTTCTGCTTCACTCAGTCACTCAGCCAGCCAGTCAGCATGAAGAATAAGAAAAATTCGGATTGTATTCATCTCAAATGAGTAGTGAATCAGTCAGCGAGTTCTTCTCTACGAGTGATAAACTTGAACTGCATTGAGTCAGTCAGTCAGTCAGTCAGTCAGTGACGAAAGGCATTTCCAACAGGCCACTGGAGACTTTTATGAACAACCACCCACTTCTCTGGCTGTCTGAATACTAATGATCAAATGACCGGCTAGCCAGGAAGAATCAGTGAAAAGAAACTCTGTGGATGAGCGAACTAAAGAAGAGCCGACTCTTAGAGGAAATTTAGATAGACTGATAGTGCCGTCGAATGACATGGCATTCAATACAGGTCATTGATCCAGTGGATGCTCGATGAGAAGCAACGAGTGTGTCATAACTGAGAGTGTGACATGGAGGAGATCGTGTGTCGAGTAAGATAAAGAGTAGGAGGAGATGAGAAATTATCGTGAATCGTGAGCCCAGCCAATTGAAGACAATAGCAGAAGATAGGACGAATTGGAGATGTGTTGTTGAAGCCGTATGTTCCACTCGGAACCCAAGGCAATAATAATAATAATAATAATAATAATAATAATAATAATAATAATGACGGAACTGCTTTATTCCTCTGTACTCAGTTTTGATTTATTTTATTAAACTTCGCCACTAAACTACTTACATTTAGTTTATGAGTAGTATATTTTATAGTAAAGAATTTTTGAAATTGTCTATCTATGATA